GTCTTGCTTCAGTACCGCGAAGATCGGACTGGAGTAACTTGAATTGGTCTGCTTGTACAACCCGGTCCGCACTCGCTCCTTGATCAACTTCATGAAAGCTCCACGAATCGCCGCCGGAATTGGGATTGGCCGGATCTGCCAGGGCTCGTGCGGTATCGTCGGAATCTTGTACGGTTGACCGATCTCCCGCTTCAGCAAGCCCCGCTCTTCCGGTCCGAACGCCAGAACCTTTTCCCGCAGCTTCACCACGTCCGCCAACAGATGGAACTCCTCTTCGCTCAACCATCCTTCCGGACCACAGTTCAGACCCTCTATCCGCTCTGTGGTGATCTTCTCGGAGGGAGTGAATCTCGGCGGAACTCTCGACAGCGGCGTCGAAAAAGGATCTCGATCCCACTCAATAGGCCGCAACGGAGGATTAAGGTCCTGCGGCATTGGTTCATTCTGCGGCCGAACCTTCCTCGCCACCGGCTTGTACTTTCCCCCGTTCACCCTAGTGAGTCGAGAATTCCCGTCGCCTGCATCCCGTCGAGCTAACAACAGTCCACGACCTTCCCCTTTGCTCACGAATGTGGCACTATGATAGTGTTTTACAGTAGTACCAATCGGAGATGCACACGATGGAGGACTTACTTGCACCCTTTTGGCCTCCGCCCCTCTACTCCGACTCCGCTCTTCCTCTCCGCCAACCCCGCTGGTTCCTCTCCCTCGTTCGTCCGCTACTCCTATTGCACACGCGTTGCTCACGACAGTGGCATTGAAGTAGTGTTTCGACTCATTCCCCGGAGATGCATACGACGGAAGACTTACTTTTGCTCCCTTGTCGCCTCGCCTCATCTCCACACCTATACCCTCTCGCTCCTTAGTTGTCGACCGTCCATACGGAGTCGAAGCTCTCCCCGTACGGATGACTCGGCCGACATCTAAAAATCCTCCGGCGGCGGCTCATGGCACCTCTCGCCATGCCGCTCCTCGTCCACCACGCGGTTCAGCCACTCCCCACTCTGCGGTTGACAGATGGTAGTTTCGAACTGCCTGCCCCCGGAGTCACGCACCGCCATTATCTCCTCCCTCCGCCTGGGACAGAACCGTAGATCCGTTCTAAAAGCAAACAGGAAAGGGCGTCCGAGTATAATCTCGTTCGACCTCGTGACCAAGAACGAGATCCGCTCTTCCACTTTGGCCACGAGCACCGGCTCTGCCTCCACCACCCCTTCTACCTCGCATCTGAATCCCCCCATGGTACGGATCGACATACTTGTTTTACGCCGCGCAAGGCTTGTCGCTCGGGCCAACTCCGCGGGCATGATGTTAATCATAGAGCCGCTATCGATCATCGCCCAAACCTTCTGGCCTTTGATCTCCATCTTGACGTACCCCAACGGGCAAGACACCAGCGCTCGGTGCACCGGCTTATCATTCTCGCCGTACTCCGCACTACGCACCTCAGCCAATACCGTCTCAACGGGGGTGCTTACTCTCTCCGCGGTTTCCTTGAACGAAGGACCCGCAGCCTCCCGAATACTCCCTATCAGCTGCTCCGCCATCAACGGAGAGATCGTCGCCAGGTCTTTGAGGGTGAGAGAGAGAGCTGTTTCGTTCCCTAGTGCTTTTCGGGCCAGCTCACTCGCTCTCTTCTTCTCGGCAGACTGTTGAGTTGCCGGCTCCGTCGCTTTCGGTTTCTTCGGCGCCGGCTCCGCTTTTGGATTCGAATCCAGCTCCATCCGGTCGTACCGCTCCCCAAAACAAACCCGCTCCTCCGCCGCCACCGCCCTTACTTCCGCAGCGACTGCCGGAGGAGTCCACGCTCTTCCCCGCTCCACTATCCCGATGTGGGACTTCACCTCTGCTTCCTTCCCCTTAGCCGTTTCCGGGGAGTCCGCACTTCTCCTCTTATGCACCTCGTCTCGCGGAATCGCTGCCTCTATCTTTTCTCCATCCAGATAGTAGTCCCTCATCGATGGACGAACCCCTAAGGTCTTGATGTCCGTAGTGAGGTCTGGACATTGAGACTTGAAGTGCGCTGTCGAACCGCAATAACTGCAAGCGGGCGGCCCCCTCGGCGCAAATCCCTGCCCCTTGTTCGCCCGCCTCCGGCGCTGCAGAGGTAGCTTCAGCACCCCGCACGTCCCGCTGGCGGTTTCCAGGACTGAGTCA